ACCAGACGTACATGCTCTAGGAGTGCCCCCTAGGTGGGCTGCACAGGCCCGTGTGTTGTGGTGGGCTGCACAGGCCCGTGTGTTGTGGTGGGCTGACCAGTATGGGCACACAGGTATGAAAGGCTGGCTCCCAGGCCCTGCCTCCTGTGGGTGGGACTGGGCAAATTGTGCCCAGTTTGTTGGGAACTTTGAGGGGATAAAGAGATGGTATTTACTATGTTTTCTACATTTCTGTCAAACCATAAATGGTAAAGCTTGAGGCAGAGGAGTCCCTTGGCTGGGATCCAGGGGGTTGTGATCTAGTCCTGACCACACCATGAACTGCTGAGTGGCCTTGGGCAGGTCTGAGAGTCTCTGGGCCTCAGTTTTTCTAGCTGTAAAATGGGGACATGACCATTTGTCATGGCTTACTTACTTCATGCAGACCTGAGAGGGACAGGCAGGCAGACCCAGAGGATCAGAGTCACCACCTCCAGGCTCATGAGGCGACCCCTACGTTCTCCTCCTTCAGACAAAGGGGAGGGGGCGCAGGGCAGCTGGAAGACAGGACACAGGTGTGTGTGCTGGTCGCGGAGGAGCGGGAGGGCAGCTCGTTCTCCTCGCTCAGCCACAGGCTCAGGGACTCTCCCCCACTGCCTCCCTGCCTTTGCTCATGGGCTTCTTCCAAGTGGAATTTCCTGAGCAGATTGCCGGCAGCCAGGAGGCCTCTGCTTGTGTGCGTGGAGCGGGGAAGGCAGGTATTGCTTAGGCAACAATGCTGGGGCTGGGGGGTGGGGGGTTGCGGCTAGCACTGAAGACGGCATGCTGGGGCCGTATGAGGGGCTGGGGGCGGACAGGGGACATGGTGGTCCCGGTCCCCGGAGGGAGGGCTTGTTGTTACCCAGACTGCCACCTCACACCTTACGTGGTCTAACCGGAAACCACCTGGAAGCACATGAGCAGGGGAATTCTTCTCCGTCCCTGGGAAAGCCCCCAGGGAGTCCGGCCCAGGCGGGTTTCCTGCGTCAGCACAGCGGCCCGGTCATCCTCGGCTGTGCTTTTATTTTCCTTTCCCTCTGTACCGCCCTCCTGATGACGGCATATTGCCCATTCCCTCTTCTTTGATCCAGTGACTCCTTATCACCACTACCTACAAACCCTGGACTTCTAGGAAAGGGAAACTTGGGGCCTGCTTCTCAGGTGCCTCGCAGGCAGAATGTGTTTGACTGAGGTGAGAGGGGCCGGCTGGCACGTCAACCTCCCTGCAGCCAGCCTGGACCTCCAGGGCCGCTGCAGGCACTCAACGGCCGGCAGAGTGCTCCGCGGCCGGCTCCAGCCCACCTTCCTCCGGGCTCCTCTGTGGCTCCCTGCCCTTCGCCGTGGCCAGTGTGACCACCCCAGGATCCCCGGACACGGCCTCCACTTGTATATGCAGAGCCCACCGTGTGGAGCACCTCTTTCCCTCCTCTCTGCTTTCAAGCTTAGACCTGAAAAAACAGTTTAAAAGTCACTTCCTGTTTGAAGCTTTTCCTCCCAGGGCTAATATTCCCTTCCTTTTCTTCTACTAGCACATCTTCATTCATCTATTTTGGTGTGGGTTTTTTGGTGGGTTTTTTTTTTTTGTTGCTGTATAATTTAAAAATTGGATGCAACTCATATATCCATCTCTTTAAAGTGTGCAGTCCAGTGGTTTTAGTATCTTCACAAAGTTGTGCAACCATTAGCAAAATCAATTTTAGAACCCTAAAGAAACCCATACCCCTTAGTTGTCACTCCCCATTCTTCCTCTCTCCAGCCCCTATACTAATCTACTTTCTGTCTCTGGATTTGCCTATTCCGGACATTTCACGTGAATAAAATCATGCAATATGTGGCCGTTTGTGACTGGCTTCCCACGCTTAGCATGTTTTCAGGCCTCATCCATGTTGTAGCATGAATCAGCACTTCATTCCTTTTTTTTGTTGTCAAAAAGCATCTCATTGTATGGACAGACCACATCAGCTGTTCATTCATTAGCTGATGGACATTTGGATTGTTTCCACTTTGGTGTTATTATGAATAATTCTTTTTTAATCATGCTTTAAATTTTTTAAATTGAAATATTAGTTGAATTTACAATGTTTTTAAATACTGCTGTACAACAAAATGATTCAATTATACATATATGTGTATATATATATACACACAGTCTCTTTTAAGAATCTGATCCTGCTCTAGAACGAAATATTCCTTTCCATTGTGGTTTACCATAGGATATTGAACATAGCTCTCTGTGCTATACATACGACCTTATTGTTTATCCATCTGCATATAAAAGCTCACATCTGCCAACCCCAGCCTCCTGCTCCACCCCTCTCCCACCCACTCAGCAAACACTGGTCTGCTCCCTACAGCTGTTTCTGTTTCAAAGATAGGTTCACTTATGTCATAGTTTAGGTTCCACATATAAGTGATATTATATGGCATTTGTCTTTCTCTTTCTGACTTACTTCACTTAGTACAATAATCTCTAGTTGAATTCTCTTTATTCCCTTTAATCTTTTTTTCCCCCTTAAATTCTAGTTTATCTGATACTAATATAGCTACACCTGAGTAGAAGAAGCCAAATCTGTCTTTGATGATGAACAAAATAAGGACTTTGACCTAGCCTAAGGAAATGTTTACTTTTGCTTAATAATAACTAGATCAAAGGGTTTACACAGAATAAGGATTCAGGGGGTGAGGTGTCTCCTGGTTGCTCCCTTATGTCTCAGAGATATGCCCAAAGTTTAGTGGTCTTACACCGTAAGAAGTATGAGAAGCGTAGAACTGGGGCGACACGGGTGCCTTCGCTAAGTCAGTGAGCCGTCAAGATTCATACCCAGTACCCTGACGGTACTGGGTACCGTCCTCCTCTGGCTGCTTCCCTGGGAGATGCCTTTCCAGAGAAAGAAAGTTCCATATTCTGAGTACTTCCTCTAAGCTATGAGTTTCATTTATACCCGTTATCCTAACAACATATCAGCAAACAAAATGATCCTATTTCTAAGTTATGAAGAAACTGAGGCTCCCAGATGTCCAAGTCCCATGACCAAGGTCAGAACAACTCCTGGGCAGCAGAGAGGGGATCCTACTCCAGAACGGAAGCTCTTCCGGGGGTCACCACACCCGAGCTTTCCTGGTGGCTCAGACGGTAAAGAACCTGCCTGCAACTAGGGAGACCCGGGTCAGGAAGATTCCCCAGAGAAGGGGATGGAAACCCACTCCAGTGTTCTTGCCTGGAGAATCCCACGGACAGAGGAGCCTGGTGGGCTATAGTCCATGGGGTCACAGAGAGTTGCACACGGCTGAGCGGCTAACATTTCACTTTCCACCCAAAGCCCTGCCCCTCTGGCTGGCCGCAGCGTGGGGAGGCGCCCGTCACCGTGACTGGGGACGTCACACAGCTCCAGCTCCCTTTTAGTGCTCTTTCACACCAGCCATGGAGCAGGAACACCAGCAATGTAACAGGTACGGCTTGTCCTCCCCGCCTGTCCCCACCACAGACACCTGATGATTGGGGTCCCCGGGTCAAGTCACTGCTTCACGCAGGAGCAGAGACTCCAGGAAGTCCTCACAAGTCAAAGATGGCAAGGGCAGAGCCTTGTTGTAACTTTAAGGCTGAATCTGTAGGCTCATCCTATTCACCTGCTCAGCAAAACAGCTCCTCAGGCCTGAGCGCCAGGCCCCTCTCACTGCAAGCTCAGGGTGTGTCTGCGAGGGACGGGAAGGCATGGCCCCACGCCCCTGCATCCCGACCAGCTCCCACCCTGCTCACTCCTGCTGACTGCAACAAAGGGGACATACACATTACAAACTCACTCATGAGAGACAAACTTTATTTTGACATCTCAGAAATTGCAAGGCAATAAGCACAATGACAACAGTGTGCTCTGAAGGGTCAACTCGATTTCAGATGCACAAACGTGCTGGGATCTCATGAACTGCCGGGCAAGGAAGGTGGGCAGCTGACTGCTGATCCCCTTTACAGAGGACTTGTTTTTAATTAATTAATTTATATTTATCTGTTTACTTATTTATTTATGGCTGCACTGGGTTTTTGTTGCAACGCACAGGCTCCCGTTGCCGTGAGCGGGCTTTCTCTATTTGCCATGAGTTGGGGCTACTCTCTAGTTGCGGTGCAGAGGCTTCTCATTGCGGTAGCTTCTCTTGGGTGGAGCACAGGCTCTAGGGCGCACGGGCTTCAGCAGTTGTGGCTCATGGGTTCTAGGACGTGCAGGCTCAGTAGTCGCAATCCAAAGGCTTAGTGGTCCCACGGCATGTGGGATCTTAGTTCCCAGATCAGGGATCAAACTGGTGTCCCCTGCATTGACAGGCAGATTCTTAACCACTGGACGACCAGGGAAGTCCTAGAGAGGACTTGTAGAAGTGACCTGGCTTCCCTACAGACTGTGGGGAAGACAGTCTGTCTACCTATCGGGTAGACAGAGGCCAAGACAATGGAGTAGAAAGGCCCTGAGCTCCCCTCCCCTCATGAGCACACCAAAATGTGGGGTTACTAGTGGGGAGAGAGAACAGGGGAGAGGCAATTTAGGGGTAGGGGATTGAGAGGTGCAAACTACTAGATATAAAATAAACTACAAGGATACATTGTGCAACAGGGGAATATAGCCAATATATTGGCAAATGGAGTATAACCTTTAAAAGTTATTACTAAACAGTACATCTGTAACTTATACAATATTGTACATCAACTACACTTTAATAAAAAAAAAAATTCCACCCAGCTGCTTCCTGCATCTGGTCCAGGCTTCTCAATACCCTGGGTGGGCAGGGCTTCACCAGACATGCGCATATACCTTGGCTTCCTCAGTCATAAAACCAGGGGTCAGGCCGCCCCCCGCTCTACACAAAGGCCCTTCTCGCTGACACAGGTGGGACTTGCTGTACCGGGGGTTGCTAGGTCCATGGTGGCTGAATCCCATGGCTGGTTAAAAGCCTTGGCACGCAGCAATGAACCTGGGACTAAGCAGAGGGGCGAGACCCTGGCTGGCCCATTGCTAGCCACCTTCTCCAGCCGGGGAGGTAGTTCTGGTGTGGGCAGAAAGGGGCGTCTCCTGGCTCCTCTAGGCCCAACCTGCTGAGGAGGGGTAGGGCCATTGTGACCTTGAGCCGTCTCTCTGCCACACCTGCTGCTGACCAGCATTTCCGACTCTTCTCCAGAAAGACGGCAGAGCTGCATCTCCTCCCCCGGCCAGGGCCGGGCTCAGAGCTCTGCACCTATACCAGGAGGCCCTCTCCAGCACCCAGGACAAGAGGATCCCCAGCCGGGGCCACCTCCTCGATCTCCCAGCGACACACGGGGCATCTGGCCGTGTCCCTGAAGACCCTCCAGGCACAGGAGCTGCAGAAGTGTGTGTGGCCGCAGGGGACAAGGCGGGTGTTGGCGACCTGGTGGAAGCAGATGGCACACTCCTCTCCTGCTGAGGCTGGGAAAGGCGACAACACAGGTCAGGGCGCTTGGGGCCACGAGAGGGCGGCGCACTCACAGCACCACAGGACACAGACGCACGTGGTCGGAGCACGAAGAACACGGCCTCGTGAGAGAGTGCTCATAATGCAATCAGGGAAAAGGGCTGGGAAGGAAACTGTAAGGTACATACATGCATAGCCTAAGATTCCAATTTAGGAAAAAGGAAAACAAAGCACAAAGAACTCCCCACGTACGGAGTGCTGTGCTTGGTCACTTTAGTCGTGTCTGACTCTGTGACCCCAGGGACTGTGGCCCGCCAGGCTCCTCTGTCCATGGGGTTCTCCAGGCAAGAACACTGGAGTGGGTAGCCATGCCCTCCTCCAGGGGATCTTCCCAACCCAGGGATCAAATGCACGTTTCTAACACCTCTTGCATTGGCAGGCAGGTTCTTCACCACAAGTGCTACCTGGGAAACACCCGCCTCCACTTCCACCCATATGTGTGTATGTGTGTATATATATATATATAATTACAAAATACCGGGAGGAAATCTACCTAACAGGCAATGTGAAGTTTGGGAGGTGTGCTTTTTTTTCACTTCCTTTTTTATCTTTGAATATATATTTTATTTCTGCTTGGCAAAGTTTTTTGTTTTTGTTTTTTTTTTGTTTTTTTACTATGAACAGGGATTGCTCTTTTAAAAGCAGGTGGACAAAATAACATCTATTCATGAGCGTGCCCAGTAACTTATGAAGCCAGCCAATGTCCTAGAAGGCAGAACTGTTACATGGCTTTCAGGTTTCGGCCTACGGCCTGTGGGAGACTTGATGGCACCTGGGAAGGCATAACCGAGTTCCCAGGGCTGGGGCCTTGCCCGGCTTCCCCAGCTCTGGAGCCCTGGGGAGTCCCTGGCACTCGGGAAAGCCACTCACCTTTGGGCCCGGGCAGAGCCTCATCACTGAGGTCCCTTGGCATGGTTGTGGGAAAGTTGTTGCCTGTAAGATCTAAGGCAGAAAGGGAAAGTCAGGACCAGGGGAAAGCAGTCAGGGTGTTTCCATTCAACCCACCTCCCCAGTCCCTGCCTCCAAAGCAGAGTGTCCACCTCCTTTCTTCTCTGGGTCGCAGTGCTGCAGCTCCAAGCCGGGGGTCCAGCCCTGTCCTGGCCACCCCTTTCCCAGTGGGACCCAGCAGAGAATTTGTGGACCTGCAGCTTTTTCATCCTAATCCACGCTTCCTTGAGACAGCTCCTCTCTGCCCTACTGCCTGCCTGAGCAGAGATCTTCAGCGTCCGGTCACTGCTCCCCAACGGATGTGCAACAGAGTCCCCCAGGAGGTGGGAAAACAGGTGCCCGGGCCCCTCCGGGGGTGAGGCCCGAGCAGTTGTGACAAGCCATCCGAAAAACAAACACACTGGGGGGACTGGAATGCTCGTGCAGGTCCCTGGAAGACTGCCCAGGTATGCCAACACTTCTTTTCATGAGTCTTCCTGTATCTCCTCACTCCTCTGAAATCCACTCTCCTTTCAGGTGGTCCTCATTTCCCCACTGAGTGCCTGAACATCTCACCTTTGACCCCACCAGGCTGCCTTCTTGCATACCTCTAACTTGCACACTTATGTTCCCTTTGTTGCCACCCCTGTCTGCAGCAAACTCCTACTGTGACTGCAAAACCCAGCCCGCCCCAAATATTTTTTTCTTTGTAAATGAGACCATCCCTCTAACATAGGGGTCCCCAACCTCCGGGATCTGATGCCTGATGATCTGAGGTGGAGCTGATGGAATAATAATAGAAATAAAGTGCATAAGAAATGTAATGTGCTTGAATCATCCTGAAACCATTTCCCTCACCCCTCCTTCTGTGGAAAAGCTGTCTGCCACGAAACTGGTCCCTGGTGCCAAAAAGGCTAGGGACCGCTGCTCTAACATATGTTTGGGGTGCTGGGCATGCCTTCTCATTCTTCAAAACAGGGCTGCCCTCCCTGCGACTGGGTCTGGTCCCCAGCAAACATCTTCATACCCGGAGAGAAGCCGATGGAAAAACTCCATATGAAAGAAACAGCAGTTCTCCCCGACCCTGTACGCGGTCAGGCACCACCGGAGCCGCCGCCTCCCCCGCCCCCGTTCCCAGGGACGGCGCCTGGGTCCCCGCCCCTGGCCTCACCCAGCAGCTGGATGGCCTTGGTGGTCCCGTACACGTCCATCACGGCCCAGAGCGGGGCGCCCATGAGCACGCCCTCGCGCAGCAGCCGCCGGGGCCCCGAGTTGACCCGGGCGAAGATCTGGCCCTGGCGGTTCACCCAGAAGCGCACCACGTCCCCCGGGAGGGCGCAGCCGTCAGGAAGCATGGCCGCCCAGGTCTGACTCTGCTGCTCCAGGTCCGGGCACACGAAGGGCGGCAGGCTGGGCGCGGGCACCCGCGCGGGGTCCAGGCGCGTGAAGCCCACGCGGAGGCCACCCAGCCAGCCGGGCTCGTGCCACAGCAAACGCAGCGCCACGCGCTCTCCCGGCTGCACCGGCCGCTGGCTGAACACGATGCCGTCGTGGAACGTGGCGTGCCTGAACGCGGTGCTCCGCTCAGCATCCAGGCGCACCTGTGCGCCCACCGCCTGGGCGTGGAAGCGGAGCGCCTCTCGGGGAGCCTCGGCATCTGCGGCGGGGGCGGGGGCGTCATTGCAGGTCGGCCGGACACACGGCTGGCCTTCCGGGCAGCCTGGAGCCCTCCCCACCAGGGGAAAGGGGCATTTCCATCAACCCATGCTCCCTGGGGCTACTGTCCCGGCTGTCCCCCATCCCCACTCCAGAGACCTTCTTAGAACCAGTGGGGAACCCGCTTTGCCTGTCTGGGATCTTAGTTCTCTCCTGACTCTTGCCAAGCCTCAGTTTCCCTCCTTTACTGCAGCTTAGTCACGGAGTCCTGTCGGACTCTTTGAGATCTATGGACTGTAGCCCACCAGGCTCCTCTGTCCATATGTGGGCCGGGCCGTAGGCCTGGGTAAGCTTTGAAAGCAGGGGACTTCCTGACTTGCCTCCACTTGGCAGCTGGGACGGGAAAGTTCCTTGCTGGGCAGCCCTTCCTCTCAGCCCCAGAGGCCTGAAGGAAGCTGGTGGAGCTTCCGGCCCTAAGACGGGCACTTAGCCAGCTCCCCGGGCCTTAGCTCTCTCCCCCTCCCATCCTGACCCTGCTTTTTCTGGGTTGGAGGAGGGAGGCTGAAAATATAAAGAGAATTCATTCAAAACTTGAGCCAGGGAACTTCCCTGGTGGTCCAGTGGTTAAGACTCCACGCTTCCAGTCAATGCAGGGGGCACACATTCAACCCCTGCCCTCCTCTTGACACTCAGATGCCTGCAAGATGTCAGCCAGACGCCGGGAGGGGAGGCTGGGCGTGGTCAGGTGCGAGGCAGACCGTCAAGGCCACAGCAAGCCCACCCCTGACCCCCACTGGCTGCGGGAGCAGTGGGGCAGGAGCCAAAGAAGCAGCTGATGAAACTGCTGGGTGCGTGAGTCCCTCAGAAGGGCAGGCGGGCCCTGGGGGCCCTAGGAGAAGCAGACTTAGTCCTCCACAGGGGTTTGACAGTCTGCAAAGCTTACCCCTGTCTCGGGAGTTTCCCACCGGCCCGTGGGCGCTATGTCCTCACATCAGCAGTTAGAGGAGGGAGGCCGAGAGAGGTCACAGGACGCCGGGGCCCAGTGGACTGTGCTGCTTCTGCCAGCTGCCGCCTGGGCTCACTCACTGTCTCAGCAGCCCCCAGCAGTGGCCTGAGTGTGGCCCTCGCAAGGCACACAGGGCTTCTTGGGGGTCAGCCTTTCCACATGTGAGGTCCTGAGTGGCTGTGTTAGTTGTTCACTGAGAAAGGCCAAGGCTGAGCGGCAATGACAGCCACCCGTGTGCCGCCCGTCCGGCAGAACGGCCTCTGCCCACGGGGCCCCTTCCTCTGCTTTGCACGGGGCTCTGTGCCTGAGTGTGGGGCTGGCTCTGGGTAGTACCCCCTTCTCCAAGGCTGGCTGGCAGGGCTCCTCCCATTCTTTGACCCAAGTGACCCAGTCCAGCCTGCTCCTGGGTTGGGGTGAGGCAGAGGTGGGTACTGGCCAAGCGTGGCTCTCCAAGTAGGCGTGTCCCCAGTCAGTTGGGCAGGGAGTTCTGAGCACTTTATGCCTGCACTGCGAAAGGCCAAGGCTGAGCGGCAATGACAGCCACCCGTGTGCCGCCCGTCCGGCAGAACGGCCTCTGCCCACGGGGCCCCTTCCTCTGCTTTGCACGGGGCTCTGTGCCTGAGTTTGGGGCTGGCTCTGGGTAGTACCCCCTTCTCCAAGGCTGGCTGGCAGGGGTCCTCCCATTCTTTGACCCAAGTGACCCAGTCCAGCCTGCTCCTGGGTTGGGGTGAGGCAGAGGTGGGTACTGGCCAAGCGTGGCTCTCCAAGTAGGTGTGTCCCCAGTCAGTTGGGCAGGGAGTTCTGAGCACTTTATGCCTGCAGGTGGCTGTTCTCATCAGCCCCACTTTCAGGCAGCATCCTGAGCCCCCATCCTTGGCCCCGCCTCCGCCCCTTGATTCAGATGCCCCTGCTGCTGGTGCCCAGGAACCCTAGGTTACTATGGTTACTGCAGAGTCAAGGGCTCCAGGTCCTTCTGCTTGGGAAGGAGCAGAGTCCAGGCTCTGGGAGCAGGGATGCATGGTCCAGATCTCTAGTCATAAGAGACCCAGCTCTCCAACCCCCGCCTCGGACACTAAGGCAAAGTTGTGACCTCAGGTGAGACCGGCAGAGAATCATTGAGCCTGGTGACCCTGTGGTCTCTGCTTCTGGCAGCTCTGTAACTGGCAGGATGGGGGCATTGGCTCCCAGCCTGCGGACGAGGAAGCTAAGGCTCCGGGAGAAGTGACAGGAAAGGTCCCCACAGCTCTGTGAGGGCAGAGCTGGGACCCCGGTCTTCCACCAGGCCCCCTAAGCTCTACCCTCTTTCCCATCCCAGCCAGTCTTCTCTCTGCACAACAGGATCTGAAAGGCAAACGGGTCATAAGGGTCTTTGCATCACTGCAGGGATTGTGGCCCGAGTTCCTCAGCCTCTATTGGATTCTCGCTAAGAAAGGAAGCTTTCACTACCTCCTGGGCTCATAACAGCTCACTGCCTAGGGCAGCCCGGCCTCGATCAGAAACTCCTTCTGAGCAGTATTTACACTGACTATACCTCTATCTCCTGAGTCTTCCACCCCAGAAAACACAGAGCACCCCTCTGCTTCTTGTATTTCTGGTCCAGGCAGAAAGCTCAGGGCTCACACTTACCAGCCTGAGAGCAGATCTGGGCCCCCATCCGCCTGGGCTCCTCAGGCATGGGTCCCTGGGTCTGAAGAAGGCCAGTGGACAGGTTTCCCAAAGATATTCAGCAGGTCCCCTTGTCATGGGGCCAGGATCATATTACAGCGTTGATGATTAATTAGAGATTGCAGTCACGAGTTACAATATCCAGGGAATTTCCTGATGACTGCTGGTTTGCAACAGGCCTGCCACAGCTGGCTGGCCCGGAGGAAGCGGGGACTCGGGAGATGGCTGAGGTTGGATGTGGAGGAGCCTTCTCTCTTACTTCTGATTAGTTGCGATCAACCAGCTGTGCATTATCACTGCCTGAGTCGTGTTAATGAATACCTGTAGCCAGACCTCCCCCCAGAGACCTTGATTCCAGTGGCCTGGGGTGGAGCCCAGCATCAGCCTTGTTTAAAAGCACCCCCAGGGACTTCCCTGGCTGTCTAGTGGTTAAGACTTGTGCTTCCACTGCAGGAGACACAGGTTTGATCCCTGGTCAGGGAACTAAGATCCCACATGCCGTACAGTGAGGCAAAAAAAAAAAAAGTAAAATAAGCAAAAACCAAAATAATAAAAGTACAAGCGCCACAGCTGATTCTAATGTACAGGGCAGAGAGAGATTCACTACTACTGACCCCAGGATACAGGAGGCACTTAATCAGTGTTGGTGAAGTGGGTTGAATTGAAGTAACTGCATTTCAGGACCTGTGAAGCTGCCCCTGGCTCGGGTCTCTGGCCAAGAGGAGAAGGGCCAAGCAGAGGTGTCGACTGCTCCCCAGCCTTGCTGGCGCTGGAAGCCCACTGCCCAGAATCCCCCACGGAACACAGAGTCCCGCAGTGGGTCACGCCCAAGGCCGAGCTCCCAGGGTGTTAGTGATGGCAAGAGATGTCAGAAATCTTTTGCCCCTTTCATTCCTGTTAGAGAAACTGAGGCTGGTGGCAGGGAAAGTGGCTTGCTCTAAGCTAGTACTTCTCAGATCGCAACACATGAACCTGCTGGGGATCTTGTTAAGATGAAGCTTGAATCAGAAGATCCGGGCAGGTGTGGGATTCAGCCTTTCTAACAAGGCGGTTCTGCAGACCCCACTTCAGGTGACAGGCCCTAGATGCGTTTGGAGGCTTGTGGGTATCCTGACCCTTGATCTCCAAGCTAAGGCCCTCCCAAGACCCTAGACCGAGGCCATCAGCAGTGGCTACTCTGCTTTGCTTTTGTTTTCAATATTTATTTATTTGGCTGCTCAGGCTCTTGGTTGCAGAATGTGGGATCTAATTCCCTGGCGGGGAGTTGGACGTGGGCCCCCCGAGCTGGGAACTTGGAGCCCAACCACTTGGACCACCAGGCAAGCCCTCCGATCATTGACTACTTGGAACTTGGCTGAAGGGGTGGATATGCCCCATGCGTTTCCCTGGGGACAGTGGTGCTGCTGGCTGAGCAGCTTGACTGCGGGTGAGGAGGGGAAAGGGTGAGCGTTTGGAGACCCGGATTCTGTCTCCTGGGTTAGCTTTACCTCTCTTTCTCTCCCCAGGCCTTTGTGTCCCCGTGTGTAGAACGGGAAACCAGGATGCACTGGTCTGTGCGTCCCTGCCAGCCCCCGTGTGCCATGATCTTGGTCCTGGTGACAGCTACTTGGCCTCGGTTGACTTCAGAATGTGTCAGTGTGACTCTGGACATCTGTTCCACGCCAAGCCCCCTGCCAGGCTCTCTAAAAACTGTCTTTAAGGTCAAAGGCAAACTGGTGAGAAGTCAGGAGCAATCACAGTGCGTCCGTGGCCAATGATCCTGCCGTCGGAGTCGGAGGGATCCTGGCTTAGGACTGGAGTCAGAGGCCGCCTTCCCCGCCCCCCCCCCCCCCCCCCCGCCTGTAGGGCTGGCTGTTTGCCTTGGGTGAGCTGGAGCCAAGAGCACCTTTTTGATAAACCACATTCCTATAAAAGAGATAGTTATGTTATCTTATCAGGGAGATCAGGCCTTGAGCCTCAGCCCATCTGGAAAGTTACTGGAGAGGCTGTGGACGCTAGGCTGCCCAGTGCCAGCAGGCCGAGGTGGTATGGCCTCACCTTCAGGACCCCGGTGGGGTGGGCGTCCTGAGAATTCAAATCCAGGGCCTGGGGTGCTGAGGCCTCCTCTCCCATCACACATTCCCCAGGCTTCTTGTTTTAATCATTTTTATTTTTTTAATTTTAATTTTTGGCTGCGATGGGTCTTTGTTGCTGTGAGTCGGCTTTCTCGAGCCGCAGTGAGCGCAGCCACTCTGTCTCCGTGCTCCGGCTTCTGGTCACAGTGGCTTCTTTCGTTGCAGAGCTGGAGCTCCGAGCACAGGCTCGATGACTGTGGCGCGGGCTTAGTGTGGGACCTTCCTGGACCAGAGATCGAACCCATGGCCGCTGCACTGGCGGGCAGATTCTTAACCACTGAAGCACCAGTGAAGTCCCACCTTCAGTTTATTTGTTTATTAATAACAAACACTACTGTCCTAAGTCCAGTACTGTATTAACTTGCTAATCCTCATGGCAACTTCTTGAAAAGATTCTACTTATGGTAATCATTCTCATTTTACAAATGGGGAAAACAAGGCTCAAGGAGGTGAAGCAACTTGTTCAGAATCAGAAGTGAAAGACCAGGGCGCGGCCCCAGCTGTCTGACTGGAGAGCAGCTGCCTTATCCGCCAAGCTGTGTAGCCTCCACGATCCTCCCCCAGGCCATGGCCCGCCTGAGCATTCAGTTGCTACTAACATCTTCCCCATCTCACTGACACTAGTAGGGGCTCATGGATAGCTGCTGACTGGTTGCCTGAGTGTGAAGTGGAGGCCACCCCATGATGGAGACTGCACCCTTCCCTCCAAGGCTCAAGGAGGTGAAGCAACTTGTTCAGAATCAGAAGTGAAAGACCAGGGCGTGGCCCCAGCTGTCTGACTGGAGAGCAGCTGCCTTATCCGCCAAGCTATGTAGCCTCCACGATCCTCCCCCAGGCCATGGCCCGCCTGAGCATTCAGTTGCTACTAACATCTTCCCCATCTCACTGACACTAGTAGGGGCTCATGGATAGCTGCTGACTGGTTGCCTGAGTGTGAAGTGGAGGCCACCCCATGATGGAGACTGCACCCTTCCCTCCGGGACACCTGCCTGGCCTCAAGGCTGTTGTAAATATTTGTTTCAGGAAGGTATTGACTGGCCCCTTCATGGATCGCAAACTTCTCCTGCCAAAGGGGCTTGCATTACTTGGTGAAGCTATGAGCCATGCCACGCAGGGGCACCCAAGACGAACGGGTCACCGTGAAGAGTTCTGACAAAACGTGGTCCGCTGGAGGAGGGAATGGCAAGCCGTGGTAGCATTCTTGCTGCGAGAACCCCATAACGGTGCGAAAAGGCAAAAAGATACGACAGCAGAAGATGCGCACCCCCAGGTTGGAATGTGTACAGTATGTTACTGGGGAAGAGCAGAGGGCGATTACTAATAGCTCCTGAAAGAATGCTGTGGCTGCGGCAAAGCAGAAATGACGCTCATTTGTAGATGTGTCTGGTGGTGAAAGTAAGGTCTGATGCCATAAAGAACAATATTGCATAGGTCCATGAACTTGAGCAGTATGTGAACCAAGAACTTCCAGATATACAAACTGGATTTAGAAAAGGCAGAGGAACCAGAAGTCAAATTGCCAACATCCACTGGATCATAGAAAAAGAAAGAGAATTCCAAAGTAAAACTTTTGCTTTATTGATTACATTAAAGCCTTTGACTGTGTGGGTCACAACAAACTGTGGAAAATTCTTCATGAGATGGGAATACCAGACCACCTGACCTGCCTCTTGAGAAATCTGTATGCAGGTCAAAAAGCAACAGTTAGAAAAAGACTGGGAAAAATGGACTGGTTCCAAATTGGGAAAGGAGTATCAAGGCTGTATGTTGTCACTCTGCTTATTTAACTTATATGCAGAATTCATCATGCGAAATGCTGGGCTGGATGAAGCATAAGCTGGAANAGAGCTTCTTGATGAGGGTGAAAGAGGAGAGTGAAAAAGCTGGCTTAAAACTCAAACATTAAAAAAACTAAGATCATGGCATCTAGTCCCATCACTTCACGGCAAATAGAAGGGGGAAAAGTGGAAGCAGTGACGGATTTTATTGTCTTGGGCTCCAAAATCACTGCGGACCATGACTGTAGCCATGAAAAAAAAAAAAAAAGACACTTGCTCCTTGGAAGGAAAGCTATGACAAACCTAGACAGCATATTAAAAAGCAGAGATATTACTTTGCCAACAAAAGTCTGTCTAGTCAAAGCTATGGTTTTTCCAGTAGTCATGTATGGATGTGAGAGTTGGACTATAAAGAAGGCTGAGTACCCAAGAATTGATGCCTTCAAATTGTAGTGCTGGGGAAGATTCTTGAGAGTCTCTTGGACTGCAAGGAGATCAAACCAGTCAATCCTAAAGGAAATCAACCCTGAATATTCACTGGAAGGACTGATGCTGAAGCTGAAACTCCAATACTCTGGTCACCTGATGCAAAGAGCTGACTCGGAAAAGACACTGATGCGGGAAAGACTGAAGGCAAAAGGAGAAAGGGGAGGCAGATGAGATGATGATATAGTATCATCAACTCAATAAACATGAATCTGAGCAAAGTCCAGGAGATAGTGAGGGACAGAAGAGTCTGGAGGGCTGCAATCCACGGGGTCACAGTCGGACTGGACTTAGCTGCAAACAGCAGGGACAGGCCTATGAGATGAGGGTGTCCTCTGAGGCGGCCCCTGCTGACTATAATTGGTACTGCAGGAGGGTTGAGCCCACACAGTCAAGAGGGGCACCCTCAAAGCCAGGAGGGGCCCTCCCAGGACTAGAGGTCAGAGGGGCTTAGGATTCTGCCCCTCCTCCTCACCCTGAAGCTCCGCACAGACTCTCCCTCCCCCAGCCAGGGTCCATTCACTGGCAATCCATCAACAGTTTGCCCAGACCCTCATCATTACAAAGGGCTGTTCCCCAGGTCATCTCCTAAGATGCCTCAAGTGCTCCGA